CCAACTACGTGGGGAGGGGCTTTCTTTTGCCCCAGAGCCTTTGGTTAAAGTATGAACGACTGATGGGTACAAGTACAAAAAAGGTATCCAGGCCGACTATCCTTCAATTCGTCTGGAAAAGATGTCGCTCTATATCTGAGGTTTGCTAATCAAAAGCTCTACTTCGTCATTCACTGTGTTAGTGAGAGTTTACCTCTTTGTAACTTGCGTTTTTATACAAACATGCCATTGTGCCGGCCTTGCAGGGGCTTCAGTTGTTGAGCCTGTAATAAGTACGGTTTCCTCCCTTTGGTTGATTTCCAGGAAAAGTCACCTTCATTTCTTTGTGAAGACAATTATAGACAGTTCCCTTCGGAGGGCAACAATTGTGCAATGTAAATTTTCGTGTTTTCAGCTCCCATCCTCTGCAAAACAAGATGAAACCTGACTGAGAAAGAATAAGTCGTGTAAACTGTTTTAGTTCACACAGCTGCCGTCATAAATGAAAAATACGAAAACCCAGGCCTATTTCACGAGGCTGTAGTAGTTACATCGGGCAGCCACAAGCACTCATTACTCTGGCGCATCTAAATTATCCAAAAATATTGAATACACGATTATTATGTTTTTGTGACATTTTCTTACTCATTCAACAGAACCTCAGATAGACTTGTTTGCGAAGATGCCTCATTTCAAGTAAATCTATTTTTTTTTCGAATTTTAACACAAACGCTAGATCGTCGTCTACTTGCGTCAGTTGGGAGCCTTTTCGGAGCAGGAGTTGCGCTTAAATTTTCTCCAGGCTAGGGGCGCCTGTCTGCTCCAACAATTGTCAGCTGCTCTGTCCAGGCCTGTGGCCGGCTCCACTGTGGACCCTTTGGGATCCAGCTATCCTGGACTTAATGCCAGCTTCAGTGGCGCTCGCAGAATGGAACAAGAGTCGTATATATTAGCCATGCGCCGCATCGAAGTTACACGTGTACACCTCTTTGACATAATCACTCAATACAGGTAAGTGGACACTTTTTTTGCTCCAGTTAAAATCAAAACATGGCCGTAAAGTATTGAAACCACACAGTTTCCCCTTGACTTCTCTATTGACACCAGCAACTATATCGAACATTATTTCTGTGATCAGCCTTCTTCCCGTTACTTTATTTGCAATTGATATCGCACCAACCCACCCACAATGAATGTTCTACGGAAGGCAAATGACTACTCAGCCTAAGTTTGTTATCTACACTTCAGGGCTGTGTTCGCAGATGAAGACGGCTTTTCCAGGGGTTCAGGTCTCTCGGCTAGTAAGCTCGACGGTAGCACCTGTGGTGAACTGAGTTCACACACTCTACTTGCCAATATCTCACCCCTCAATCTGGAGGACCTGCCCGGTTTCACCCTACCACCGGGCTCCGTCGTAGATGGGCTGGCTTGCCCCAAGCCCTCAAGCCCGTTCCACGCCTGGTTTGTGACCCAAATTTCCGCATTCCTCGATGGTCTTGCCAGTGATCTTGAAGGTGTCCTCCGGCTGCCCAAACTCTCCGTCGCTGAAGTTACTGATCAGCTGGCCTTCCATATGACTAATAAGGACTTTGCTCCAGGCTCCAGCACAGCAGACGACGCACTGTCTTACGCCGCGACACCCGAGGCAGTAACCTCAGCTTTCCAGCGCGTGCATTCCCTGCTGACACAGAGCCTCTACTTCGGACGGTCTTTTGCAAGGATAGGTTGTGACTTTAGAGCGCATCTAGCGATCTTGTTTTCCCGAGCAATTCTCTCATACTTTGAGGTGAGTAGTCCTGCCACTTTGAGAATGTTTCTTTTTCTCATCAAAGTTAAACGCCTGGTGTATCACTTTCTGTTGGGTCAGGCCAGCCTGGTTATTAAGGAGTTTATTGTAGCATCACTGATAAACCGGTGCATATCCTAAAGGTTTGCCAACCTTTTCCGCTGAACATTTACTCGGATCACACTGCCAATCACCGGCCTATCTCGCAGAAGTGACGTGTTGTTGTTTAGTCTGAAAGACCTTTGACACTTGCCTTATCCCCTGTTAAGGCCCACTAGGGCCCTTTTCTAGTTTGCGCTCTTGTTACGATGCTTATTTCCAGTGGAGAACATGTATTTGTCTCTTTTCACTGCCCGCCAATTCGCACAAATTGCACGATGTGGATCCTCTGTTATGCCGACTTCTAATGCGTGACCTCGACCGAACAACGCGTGTTTCTTTTGTTGCCCCACCTTATCTTCCGCGGGCCTTTTGACCTTAAGAAGGCGCCATGAGTGTCGTATGATGCATGCCAATAGCTCATAGCTTTTCTGCGTTGTCAGAACCTAAAAATATCCTGAGTTTTTTCGGACCAGATTTTCCTTGCATTTGGCTTCTAGGTTCTGTCTCGTCTGTCCTTGAGTTGCAGCAACTGATTGAGAGTAAAGCATGTGTGGTTGAATCGATGCAGCCTCTGTAATAGTGTAGTCTTCAGCAGGATGACGAGGATTGCAGAAAGAAGGGGCCGGCCTGTTAGCTGACCTGAGAAACCGAAGTTGGTCACCAAGACAGATTTGCTCTTTTTGGTTGGCTCCCCATTTTTAAAGGACTTAAGGCAGACCATCAACCAGACATTGTAAATACCTGGCTGAGTTATGCGCCCTTGGATCGATCCATTTTCTCCTATTTTCCTGTCTCAGCCTTTTAATAGATGTTTATAGGGACTTTCTGGCGGCTGGCGTTACGTGCCTTCAACTCGATGGATGATCCTTGTAATTCTGCCTCAACTTCGAGTGGGTTCATCGCGAGGGTGTGTCTGCTTGGATTTCTTAAGTTCGATGTATGCCCATCTTTTCCCGGTCTTTATCTATGCAATTACGCAGGGCTGTGTAAGCTACAAGAAGGTGGCGATGCCTGTTGATAGAGTTACCATCTGAATACCATATCTCAAGCTTGGATCGTCTTACCTTTGAGGTGCCTCGGCCTAACATAATCGCTCCTCTAATATCGAGACTTTGATCAATTTCTCCGATCTGAATTGCAAACCCCGTGTTTTTTTTCTGGCCCCGAGTTGCAAGTTTCTGCTCATTTAGACGGTTCTGCAGTTTCTTGTTCAATTAATCCAATGTAGTTGCAGTCCCTATAATTTTAACATATTTGGTAGACAGGTGTCAGGACTTCGACAAGCAGCAGTCTGCTCCTCTGTTGCCTTACAAGGCAACCAATTGTCGGTGGTCAAAGTACTGCCTGCACAGAACTTTGCTCTTTCTATTTCATGTTCGAATACCGTCGAAGTAACCGTTTTGGCGAAGTAATAGGCAGTTAAGACGTTCAAGTCGGGAAAAAACACCCATTTGCTGTAACTAATCAACAAAACCTGGTAATTCCTTGAAGTTGTTTTAAGAAAGTCGCGGGGCTTTTTCCTTATATATAAGTAGCTGTGCATGCCACAACTCTGTTATGATGTATCCCTAAAAACACACATTGCATACACCCAAAGGGTCAAAAAGATGAAGAATGATTTGCAATAAGGGAAAGAGTTACTGGGTACGAGTGTATTTGGTTTTTAGTAGGCCAAGTTAATGTGGGCTAACAGTCGTCTTGGATAACTTAAAAACCTCTTGATTCAAAAGCAGGATGCGTTTTTATATTACCTCGTTTAGCGCGCTTGTTGCGCACAGTCGCCGCTGTAATTGTTTTCTTACTGACTGCCCGGATGCTCCCTCGCACACCCTGCGCCTCCAGTGTTTTGCGCTTTAAGACCCCTTCCTTTCGCTGTCGATGTGCGAATTAATTAACACAGCTAGGTAGGATGTACCGTTGTTAAGCGCAGTTATTTAAGCTGCACTTCACTAGGTCACTGCGCAGACTACAATTCCTGTGAAACGCCAGGGCTAATTTGCCTAAACGCCCCCATGTTTCTCTCGCTAGTATCATGTGGCATGCGTATGTACCTTCAGAGTGATCATCTTTCTAGAAAAATAGCCTATCCCTGTGCTGAAACTTGTAGCGGCACGTGCTTTTCCTCTCACACCGCTTCCCCTTCT